CACACATACATTGTTTACTGATGCACCCATCCCAAATTATCCACGTGATCAGACCAACCAAATTATTCAAAGTCCAAAACAATCCACACGAATGAAATACACACCTTATTACCTCAAAGACTACCTGCGTAGTTCATTCACTGATCAACCACACACATCATTAGGTACATCATATCCTATATTTAATTTCTTGTCTTATTCTTCGTTGTCTCCCATATGTTATCATCTTATCATGTCCATCAATACTCATCATGAACCAAATTCATATGCTGAAGAAAGAAAGTTTGAATGTTGGAATCAAGCTATACAAGCTGAGCCGTCAGCTCTTGAAAGAACAGGAATGTGGAAACTTGTTGTTGCACCACCAAACGTTAAACCTATTGGGTGCAAGTAGATCTACAAAGTGAAATTCCATGCAGACGACTCAGTAGAAAGATTCAAAGCTTGATTAATGGACAAAGGCTTCAACCAAATTGAGGGAATCAGTTACTTTGATACACATTCACCTGTAGCAAAAATGACCACAGTCATGATGGTTATTACATTGACATCCATTCAAGATTGGTTCATCCACCAATTAGCTGTGAACAATGCATTTTTGCATGGTGACTTACAAGAAGATATATATATATATGACACTACCACTAGGTATTACATCCTTTAAACCCAACCAAGTTTGTAAACTCATCCAATCATTATATGGTCTCAAGCAAGCAAGTCGTAAATGGCATGAAAATGTCACATCTCTTATTCTTGCCCAACATTACAAACAATACAACTCATATCACTTTTTATTCACCAAGAAAACTGGTAACAATTTCACTCTTCTATTGGTTTATGTCGATGATATCATCCTTGGAGGAAACTCCGTGACTAAATTTGATCACATCAAATCAGTTTTCCATAAAGCATTTCAAATTAAAAACCTTGGCCACCTCAAATACTTTATGGGACTCGAAGTTGTACACTTCTTAAAAGGAATCACACTATCCTAACGTAAATATTGCTTAGATCTACAGACACATAATTTATTAGATCTAAGAAATTTTTCACTTCTGTTGATCCAACTATTAAACTCCACCACGATTAAAGTCCTGCATACATTGATATCTCTGCATACAGACGCTTAGCCAGTCGATTACTTTACCTTATAACTACCAGACTAAATATCACCTTCATCACACAACAACTGAGTCAATACCTCATCAATCCCACAATTACTCATCATAAAGCTGCCTTAAAAGTCCTTAGATACTTAAAGGGATTCCCTGCTTGTGGATTATTCTTTCCTAAAGATTCTTACTTGCAATTGATTGGTTTTTCGGATGCTGATTGGTCAGGTTGATAGACACGCGTCGCTTCATATCAGACCAATGCTTCTTTATTGGTCAATCTCTTATTTCATGGCAGTTAAAGAAACAACTCACAATCCCATGTTCCTCATGTGAGGATCAGTATCGTGCTCTTGCATAAGCCGCTTGTGAAATACAATGGTTGATATATCTTCTTCAAGATGTCTGAATCATCACTTCAAAACTTCCAGCTTTATATTGTGACAACTTGAGTGCACTACACATTGCTCCAAATCCCGTTTTTCGTGAGTGTACAAAATACTTAGAGATTGATTACTACATTCTTCACGAGAAATTATAAGATAAAGTGTTCAAACTACTTCTGGTTTCCTCCAAATACCAATTGACTTATTTTTTCACTAAGTCTCTTCTACCGCAACCATTTCACATTCTCATACCCAAGTTTGACATGCTTAACATCTATCCTCCAACTTGTAGAGAGATATTACATCATGAACAAGTTATAGAAGACTAACTTGTTCCTTAAGCAATCCTAAAAATAGTTATAAATAGTTAGTTTACACAAAATCAATTAGAAGTTGTTAGTAGTTGGTTATGGTAGTTAGAAAATTCTAATTGTATAGAGATGCCCTATCATAACAATCATGCAACAATAACAATTCTATAAATACTACTGTAGACCTCCATTAGAGCTGTCAAAATGGACTACCCGACTTTAAACGGGCTGACCCTGATGGGCTCGGGCTTTTCAGGACTCAGTCAAAAAAAACTCATTTCTAATACGGACTCAAAAATTACTACCCGAGTCCGGCCATAGATAGGTTTCAGACTACCCAACACTAAACAGATTTTTTTTCAATAAAAAATAAAAATAAAAAAGCCATAATATTTGTTATAAATAAAATTAAAAATTATATTATTTTAAACATAATACAATTTTAAGTACTATATTACCTTTTATAAATACTATCATATATTTTTAAATATAATACATGTCTAAATTGTATAAAATAATACTTAAATATTTAACATAAAAAAAATTAATAGAATACGAGAAAACACTATTGACGATATAAATTTAATTACTCAGATTTAAATTCCAACAAAAATTTTCAAGAACTTCTTTATAGAAAAATATCATAGTAAAAACAAGAGGTTGATCTAAATGCACTATAGTAAACAACATAATGACAACTAGAGACACCACAAAACCGTCACATCTAAAAAAGAAACTGATTTAAAAACTCAAATAACTTTTTCTCACAATTATCGACAAGTTTTGGGAAGTTCTATAACTTCCAAAATAGGAGTTTTGCATTGTTAACAATAAAATAAAGATTGCATTATTTAGTGTATTTAAAGTCATTTTTGAATATTGAGCATATAGTTTACTTTTCAATGTGCCCTGTTTCACTATTGTGCCGACAAACAACAAAATAGAGTCCATCTTTAGTCATGGAAAGATCATACTGTGGCCAATCCAACTTTTAGTGCACTCTTGTGGCAATATCTGTGTGTATGCATCTATGTTGTTCCTACACAATAATTTGATCTTCTCCATGAAATATTTGTGGCTCATAAATCATCAATTAATAATGCATTAATCTATAATAATAATTTACTGACACAGTTCAAGTGCTGCAAAATAAAAATATACTAATAACTAATTATTAATAATTTGTTCTTAAAAAACTAATAATATCGCAATTTAGAGGTGTTTGACGGTTGTTTAGGGTCTAATATAATAGCCTATAATATTTTTTTAATAAATAACTCATTTATTAATAATATAATCCAATTGATTATTGTATCACTAAGCTATTTCTTTGTCTAACTGACTTATATATTATATTTATGAAACACAAAGAAGAGATTGCAAGTGGAGCTCTTTAGCATCTCAAAGAATCAGGATAACATTTATATTTTTGAGAAAATACAATCAAATAAACAGATAATTGATAGGGTCATTATAAATATCACTCAATAGAGGACATAAATACAAGAGTTTAAATCATTTAACAAAACACGTATATAATGAACTCACCTACTTATTTTTCTTCTTTATTTATTTCGAGATCTAGATGTTATTTCTTTGATATTCTAATTTATTTAATTTCTCACTTCTTAGAAAATCTTGTTTAGCTATCTCAACCAAACTTCTCTCAATAACATGCCCTCATCTCAATAAATATTAAACATCTCAAGTTGAATAGTCCAAATTTCATGAACCTTACAATTCTTATTAAAAGTGAGTCAAACAACCCCACCTTACTTTGGCTTTGAAGTATTAAAGGATTCATTCAATGAACACATTCAAAGTCTTTTATCCGACTTTTTTCAATCTCTAAACTTAATACTACTAGCGCACAAACACTTTCAGAATCACCCTCATAAAAACAATGACAATCTGAATCGAATCCCCCTTGGTCTCATCTCGGGATAATCCTCCTTGAAGTGTTGATTATTATTAAAAACGAGGTACTTGTACATTAACTTGCAAACTCCCATAGACTTGAACTTGAACTTAAACATAAATTCCTTTCCATATTTGTTTCCTCTAATCTCACTTCTCTCTTTTGAAACACTACAGTCTTCTCTACTATCATCAACTTTTAGCTTTTTAATCTTGATTAACTTATTGATTCTTATAGATGATTGAAACTGCTCGAAGGTGATTGTGTCTTATTTTCTATAAAGAAAGACATCATTAAAATTCTCTAAAGATCTAGGTAATAAGCTGAGTAAGAGTATAATTTTGACCTCATGATCAAGTTTTGTCACAACATTTTGCAAATCATCAATAATTTTATGAAATGTGTCATTTCCTACACAATGAATTTATTAGTTGTTTTAGACATAACCTATGAGACAAATATTTTGTCATACAATTATTCAAGTTTCATCCATATTTCAAATGTGAACTTCTCCCATTCGACATCCCTTACATTTTATCTCTAAGACACAAGATAAAGACACTCCTTACCTTATTCATCATCTCGAACTTTTTTGCTTGATTTAGGCTAACTAGCATGAAAGTCAGACCTTTCGATGTTTCTTTTCAAAAAACAATTAATCAAGGTTGTTTGCATCTTCACTTTCTATTTAGAATCCATGATGTTAAGTTGTAAACTTATACCATTTTTTCCACATAAGACGTCATTTCTCGCGGAATATTGAATATCAAACACACCAAAAATATGATGCGTGGGACAAGAACATAAAAAGTCACACTAAACATCAACAAACAAAATTAATCTACCGACTAATATTAAAGCAAAATCACAATAAAAATAACAAGATTAAAGATGGGAATCAACATACCAAAAACTATTTAACCAATTCTATTTAAAATGATCTAATTCAAAGATATTACAAATAAGTTAAGAAAAATAGATCTCCAAGTACGTTTTTTATTATATAACAAGTGTTAACCAAAAGACAAATAGGAATATGAAGCCATAAATTGGCAACACCACCATATGACAACAATAGCACCGTCCCAATTCTCCTCTCAAACTTATATGCAAAAAAACTTAGTGTGGAAACACATAACATGTTGCATTGCTGACATAAATTCACCAAATAATACTATTCATACCCCACACTCAATCATTGCACTCCCTATTTAAGAACAAACACTTCTAAGGATGTACCACAAAACCATTCTAGTATTTTTGAATCGTTACTATGAACTTTCATATAGGAGAATGGTTGAGTTTAGGGTTCAAACAAGAAGATTCTAAATCACCAAAACCTCTTCAAAACAACAAGGTATTCTCATGCAACTTCTGCATGAGAAAGTTTTACAGCTCACAAGCCTTAGGGGGTCACCAGAATGCACACAAAAGGGAAAGAGAAGCAGCTAGTTACCAATTATCTTCATCAATGGAACTTGCTTATTCTAAATCTTTGACACCAAAGTCACTAGGAATCAAACCTCACTCTCTTGTGCGCAAACCAATCAGAGAAAGAGCTTCTACTACAGTGGCTCGATTTAACAATGACGCACTTGCTCTTGAACAAGGGGTGAAGTTTGCATGGCATGGAAACTTTAGAATGGAGTTGCCAAAGGAAGAATCACATATCCAAAAGCTTGACTTAGATCTTAGGCTTTGATTTAATGCATTTGGTTCAAATTAGAACTATTGGTGTTTTGTTTTCGACTTTCTTATGCTATATCTTGCTTGTAAAGTTTTATAATTGGGTGCAATTTTTGCATTTTGGTGCAATATAAAATCTTTCAAAGCAAATACATTGACAACCACTATTTAAAATCATAGAGTGGTTATATAACTATTCAGTATGGCATAACATATTTTGAGGTCAGTAAAATTTAATTTAAGTTATTTTAAAAATAATATTTAATTAAAAGTTAAATATTTTTTATAATTTAATATATAATTATAATAGTCAAGCTTTAGACTTCAAATATTTTAAAATGACAAAACAATTGAAAATAGTCTAAAAAATACTAAATATCTACTAACAAGATTCAATATCAGATATACTAACACCAACTTATACAATATAGTAACATGACTTATTTGTCAATGTTTAAAGAAACATTTATTAATTTTATATATTTTGAGGCCTGTTTTTTAACATTTGAGACCTATTAAAAAAGGAATTTCGTAATACACTTTATGTATTATTTAAATATTATGTAAAAATATTTAAATGTTTTTAAATTTTAAAAATGTATTTTTGAATGTATTTAATTTTGAGTTAACGTTAACATATTTTAGAGATGTATCTTTAAATTTATTTCAAAGATACATCTCTGAAATGTATTGGAGTATAAATCATGTCAGAACTCTTCTTCTTTCTTATTTTTTTTAAAATGCAAAATCTCTTTAAACTCTTTCAATTTTTTTTCATCACCAAGTCCAAAATAAAACAACCAAGCTCAAAGGATTTTCAATTAATATAAGAAACATCATCCAACACTGAAGCAAAGTGAAAAATTATAAATTTTTGATGTTTTGATAATGTTTTTGAGTTTTTTGAATTGTGTAAATGAGTAAAAAAGGATGATTTATGTATCAAATGAGTAGGAAATGCAAGAATGTTAGTTTGTACATACTATAAAACATGTTTGTTTGTTGAAAATCACGATCAAACCGTTTATTTTGAGGTCTGCATTTCTGCATTGCCTCAATTGATGAACTGAAGAGTTGCAGAAAATTCTGGAGATGCATCTATGAAATTTTTCAACGTTTGATTTCATATTGCCTGTAGATGTATCTCCATAAATTAGTAGTTTGTTTTATTTTTTTATTTTTTTTTGTTTGTAGTGTTGATTGTTTGCACTAATTCTATAGTTTAATTTAACTTATAGGCATTATGGATGTTAGACACGACAGGAAGAGGCACGGAAGAATTATACAACATGCATCAGTGCGACAGGAGAAGAGTCAAGTCTAAAAGGATCTCGTTCACTCTGGCCATGCAGAGACATCTACTTCTGGGGCTTATGCTTCTCCATCTTCTTTTTCCCGTAGGAGACAAGTTTCCTCTACCGACGCATCACTCATTTCATCCTCTCACAGGCGTCAGAGGTATTCGAGTCATCGATGGTGTCGGAGGCACCAGTGCCACCTCTGACGGATGATGCTTATGAGCTAGTGCTACCCCAACGGTTGATGCTACTGAGCCAGTGCCACCTCCTACGGCTAATGATGTTGAGCCAGTGCCACATTCGGATGGTGAGGCTGAAGAGGATGCTAAGCCAGAGCCATTTGGAGGAGGTCCTGGAGAATTGTCACTACTGCCTTTGTACCTAGACCATACTTCCAGACATATCTAGGACAGAGAGGTGGCATTAAGTGGATTCATTCTTTTAATTTGCATATATTTTGATTTACAAGTTTTTGAAATTGATTTATTTTTCTACAAAAGCATGATCCCTTGAAGAATATTAACCACGTACGGAAGATTATTAGCTTGCCTCAGACGAATGAGAAGTGGTTTCTGGCAGTGTTGTCCCTATCTGGGATGGAGTACTTGTGTGTGACCGATTATATTACAGTTAACTAAGGGATGCTTAATGCATTCATAGAAAGATGGCATGCTGAGACCTCTTTATTTCATATCTCTCTTAGTGAGATGTTTATCACACTCAATGATGTGTCGTGTTTGCTATATCTTTCGATTAGGGGAAACTTCTAGATCATGGGAGAATTAGAAAAGACGAGGCATTCGAGATGATGGTAGACTATCTGAGAGTTAACCTAAGGGATGTGATGGCTAAGACTGATAGAACCATAGGGGGCTCATGCTAGGTTTAAATTTCTCAAAAAGGTATATACATATGAGCTCCGGAGAGCTAAGCTAGCTAGAGGCAATGACGAGCAAGTGGGGATCCATAGTGCTATGTTATGAGAGCATACCTGCTATATTTAGTTGACACTCCGATTTTTATGGACAAGAGTGTCACTTATACAGATATCGTCTACCTACGTAGTTCAAGGATTTCGAGTCAATCCAAGTGTACAACTGAAGGGCCGCTCGTTTGGTCTACTTGTACTCAAAGTTATCAGAGGGTTGTAGGTAGAAAATGAAGTAGGTCACATGCAACATCACACTACTGGCGGTAATGTTTATTGGTTTTTTAATGTTTATGTTTCATTTTTATTGCATCTTTGCAGCCCCATTACTGATAATGGTTATGTTCTAACCCTTTTCAAGCTTGGATCCTTCATCACTTCCCGTGTATCTCTGCCTAGGTTGGTGTACCAACTTACATTGAGGATATGTCGCGTGCTATTGCATTTTCCCCGATAAGAGGGAACCAGGCGATAGCACCATTCAGAGTGTATCTTGATCGTTTGGTTGCCGAGGACATACACTTCAACAACTATGTGGATGACCATGAGACGCAACCATTTGACGAGATAATGACATACTTAGGATGGTTGGCCTACATATCACGTACCACTGCTCCTCATTTGCCTCGAGTGCGTGATGCGAATGTTTGCTTACACTCAAACAGAGTACCATAGTTGAGAATGATATGAACTATGTTGACGGGTACATCAGGTGGTTTTTCAGAGTGTCACGTCCGTATATGGTGCAGGCTACTCCAGGAGATCCACCAAGGCCAGCACATCAGGAGATACTAGAGAAGAAGTAGGCACAGTTAGATCATGTTAAGGATATCTTGCCAAGATGTCATCGTATAATAAAGATTATATAGGTAGGCATTGATAAAGGTATCTTCCCTAAAGGGTATGTGTGAGGCAGGTCCTATATGACATTGTTCTAGACTGGGTCGGGACCTGCCATTCAGTCGGGCAGGCCCAACCCAATGTTATGCTGATGAGGCCCAACAAGGCCCAATTTCCTCTGTCGGGTAGGAGCCTAAACAAAGCACATCTGTCGGGCAGAAGACCTTCCTAAAGGGGAAGTCCACGTGCTTCCCCCACGTTCTCCACGTGCTCCCCCACGCAAAGACACGTCATCAGGAAACTACCCACTTCCGAAAGAGATGGTCAGTCCACCTTCCGATAAAGATGGTCAGTCCACCTTCCGAAGATCATAGGGCAGTTGATCCAGGGCGAAGACCACGTTTGGTCTTCACTACGCCATGTAAACCTTGGAAGTTACTTGTGATTGGCTTGGCAATCTGGCCCAATGCAATGTAATCGTTGACCCTTCGTTGGGGGCCCATTATAAATACCCTCTTCTACTAGAGGGTCAGGTATTCTATTTCATCACATCTTCTCTTTGTACTTGCTCTCTCTAGTTTCGTTACTTACTTAAGCATTGGAGCATCTTACAAGTACACCCCTTTTTCTCCTCCATTACTCAGGTGAAGGCAGCAACACACGACACGTGGCAGGTCACTAATTCCCTTCTGATCAGGTAAGATCAGTGGCGTCGTCTATGGGAAACTCTGCTTCCCCGTTCTTTCTTCTGTCCGAGCATAGAAGCTCAAGAACCAAAGCGAAATCAACCTTCAACTTCCATTCCAATCATGGCCAGCCCGCGCAATAACAATGCTCCAGGATCTACCTTTACCCCCTTCTGCAACGGAGACGACCACGACCCCAACACGGCCGTCTACAATGAAGAAGGTGATCACAGGGACGGGTGCACTACCTCTCCCTCCTCAGAAGACGCGACCTACAATGCCGTCCAACGCTTAAACAACCTGACTGTCTACCAGCCCATCCTGGTCCCAGCTGGCGCGATCCTTCCATGGTACCTCTGTTTGCGGCAATCAACCAGACCAACTTAATGATCTTCGGGCGGAACGAGTGGATAGGGATGCTTGAAAGGGAACGGCCATCACGCTTTCCCCTCGGAGACACCGCCGCCCAGTTTTCGTCAGTCTGTCCCCTTCCCCGCAGAGACGCCAGCGCCCAGTTTCCATCAGTCTGTCTCCTCCCCTGCGGAGGACGCGAGTCGTCGAGGATGAGTCACGAAGTCCCTCTCCCCTGCCGACGGGGCACCGCCCTCGTTTGAAGCGACCTCAACAGCTGGTTTCGCACAAATGGGACAGGTCGCCTCCTCTAAAAGAGCGAAGTTCCTAGACTCAGAAGAAGAGAACCGCAAGGGGCCCTTCCAGATCGAGAGCCCGACCGAGGAGTCCCCCACGTTGAAACAGAAACCATAAGGGGTCAGCTTCCTCCTCACTGTCTCCCGTCAGGAGCGACGAGGACATCCAGCGCTCACTGCTATGCAGAGCCATCAAGGAGGCCATGTTGCTCGTTGGAATGGAGAAACCCCCGATCTGGCTACGTACGATGGCACGACTGGCCCGGACCACCATATCGAAAACATAAACACTATGCTCGACTACCGAAATGTGCGGGGAGCCATCAAGTGTAGGTTGTTCCCCACCACCCTGAGGAAGGGAGCCATGGCGCGGTACAAACACCTCATGCCCAACTCCATCATCTCCTGGGGTGAACTGAAGCGGCAGTTCTTCAGGCACTTCACAGCTTCCCGGTGCCATCCGAAGACAGAAGTGGCCCTGAAAGCCATTATCCAAGGGAAGGACAAGCCTCTCCGAGGGTACATAGAGAGGTTCAATCGTGAAGCCGTCTAGGTGTCCACCATGGACGATATGAAGAAGTTCTTGATCTAGAGAGGCATACGACCGCACTCTAACT